TATATTCTCCTCCCCCCCCTCCCCTTGATGGTTTGCACGCTCCAGATCCTATTTCTGTTGTGCTGGTGGTCACCCTCCTGTTGTTGCCTTTTCTCTGTGTCACGTGTGCGCTTACCGTGAGAGCCCAATCATCATGGAAGTCTGGTTATGAGCAACAGCGTCTCCTCCGCCTCCCCAGCCATTTCCCTCTCCGCAGCGGAAACCACTTTCCCTCCTTCGGCGGGTCCTGCGCCTCTTCTCTCCTTCATCTCTCACCCGCACGCACCTATCTTGGTTTCTCGGATTGAGTCACTGTCTGTTGACTTTCCACTGGAGAGGATGAAGGTGGAACTCTCCCTGTTATAATACATGTGCATGGGCACTCGTGTGCACACACACACACATGCACACACACACACACACCCTCCCAGTCCTCCCGAGTGGGTAGGAGATAGGAGAATGAATGAACGAATGAATGAATGAACCTTAGTGTCCTATATATTATAATAAAAGGCTAATATGCACCGAAAGCGGTGTTTGGCTCAGTGGATAGAGCATCAGCCTGCGGACTGAAAGATCCTGGGTTCGATTCCAGTCAAGGGCATGTGCCTTAGTTGCAGGCACATCCCCAGTGGGAGGTGTGCAGGAGGCAGCTGATCCATAAAAATTGATCATCATTTTTTTAAATATATTTTATTGATACTTTACAGAGAAGAGGAAGGGAGAGAGATAGAGCCAGAAACGTCAACGAGAGAGAAACATCAACCAGCTGCCTTCTGCACCCCCCCACCCCACTGGGGATGTGCCCGCAACCAATGTACATGCCCTTGCCCGGAATTGAACCTGAGACCCTTCAGTCCGCAGACCAACGCTCTACCGCTGAGCCAAACCGGTCTTGGCCAACATTTTTGTTTCTATCTCTCCCTCTCCCTTCCTCTCTGAAATCAATAAGAATATATATGTATATATAAAATGAATCAACCAATGAATGCATAAATGAGTGGAACAACAAATCAATGTTTCTCTCTCCCTCTCCCTCTCCCTCTCTCTCTCTCTCTCTCTCGAATTGCTAAATACATGTAAAGAGGAATATTTGCAAGTAGAGTAGCCACGTATATATTTTAAAGGATCTGGCAAAGATAGCATTTCAAAGAAACTTTTAGGGATGCATTTAGTTCTGCATATAATGACAAATCAGGGAGGGAGGAGGGACTATGAGGAGCACTACCAGATGAACAAGAATTAGCTTGTATTTATAACTTACATAGAACTCACGATAACTCCATGATTTCTATATATGCTCATTCCTGTGTGCATGAAACATGCACACAGTACTGGAGCCCATTTTCTCATATCCTCATCAACTTGTGAGCCTCATTCATTCTGAAGTCCTTAAAAAAAAAAAAAAAAGGCTATTTCCATGATGTTTTCATTTGCATCTCTCTGATGACAGCCGAGGTCGAATATGAAGATGTTCCCACGGTTTAAAAAATTAACTAGCTTTTAATTGGAGAAGTAATTCATGTACACGGGGAAAAAAAATATCAAAGAGCATAAAAAGCCACGCTAGGAGACATACATCTCCTTCCCACGCCCGAGGAGCCCCTGGCCCTGAGGCGGCTGCTGCGATCCGCTGCTTCTTCCTCCTTCCAGAAATACTGCGTGCACAAGCCAGCACCTTAGGAAAGAGGAAATGCACGGTGTACCTCTGAATCTTTTTTTTTTTTTTTTTTTTTACTATATTTTATTGATTTTTTACAGAGAGGAAGAGAGAGGGATAGAGAATTAGAAACATCATCAGCTGCCTCTTGCACACCCCTACTGGGGATGTGCCCGCAACCAAGGTGCATGCCCTTGACCGGAATCGAACCTGGGACCCTTGAGTTCGCAGGCCGATGCTCTATCCACTGAGCCAAACTGGTTTCGGCTTCCTTTTTTTTTTTTTTTTTTTTTACACAACAAGAACATGTTTTTATTTTTTTTTAAATATATAATATATTTTATTGATTTTTCACAGAGAGGAAGGGAGAGGGATAGAGAGCTAGAAACATCAATGAGAGAGAAACATCGACCACGGGGGATGTGCCAACAACCCAGGTAAATGCCCTTGACCAGAATCGAACCCGGGACCCTCTAGTCCCCAGGCTGACGCTCTATGCACTGAGCCAAACCACTTAGGGCAATACCCAAGTAATTCTGATGCCACTTCATGCCAGGGGTATCACCATCCACTTACCGTTAGCAATCATGTCCCTTTGGCCACCGGGAAATAGGCGATGCAATTTCTCAGGCCTCTCCAGAGGGCGATCTTGTAAGGAGCAGTGGTCTGAAGGGGCAGGTGGGGTGGCATGGGGACCAGTGGTCTGAAGGGGCAGGTGGGGTGGCATGGCCATACGGTGAGGCGTGGAGGACGGCTTCTGCCTGCAGTCAGTGGAGCCTCAGCAGAGCTGGTCGCCACGGCTGAGTGGCTGGAACAGGGAGTAGCTGGGACTGGGAGTGGCGGGGACAGAGAGTAGCTGGGACAGGGAGTAGCTGGGACAGGGAGTGGCGGGGACAGAGAGTGGCTGGGACAGGGAGTAGCTGGGACAGGGAGTAGCTGGGACAGGGAGTGGCGGGGATGGGGAGTAGCTGGGACAGGGAGTGGTGGGGACGGAGTAGCTGGGACAGGGAGTAGCTGGGACTGAGAGTAGCTGAGACAGGGAGTAGCGGGAACAGGGAGTAGCTGAGACAGGGAGTAGCGGGGACAGGGAGTGGCGGGGACAGAAAGTAGCTGGAACAGGGAGTAGCTGGGACTGAGAGTAGCTGAGACAGGGAGTAGCGGGAACAGGGAGTAGCTGAGACAGGGAGTAGCGGGGACAGGGAGTGGCGGGGACAGGGAGTAGCTGGGACAGGGAGTGGCGGGGACAGGGAGTAGCTGGGACAGGGTACATCCAAGACCCTGTGAGGCCGGGAGGCTATGACGCGGCAGGACGAGCTGCCTGATACGAAGGCCTGTCACGGATTTTCCTCCCGAACAAGGCCTGCCCTGTTTGCATTTATCGACGCCACGTGATGGATAGGCTTAGTTCTTATTCTGACATCTTATTTTACAGGATGTCTCCTCTCCCAGGTGCTTTCTTTGTTGTGCGTGTCTTTGGCTCTGTGCCGTGTGTGCGTGTGCATGCGCGTGCATGTGCGTGTGCATGTGTGTGTGTGTGTGTGTGCGTGTGTGTGTGTGTGCGTGTGTGTGTGTGTAAATTCGCTGCATTTGTAGCCCTCTGGCATTCTCGCTCTGGAACCCCCAGACTTTGTCAGGACCAGACAGACGTTGTCAGGTCTGCTAGGATGGGATCTGATGTGTAAAGGCCTAAGACTCCAGCCTGGCCTGTGTTGCTCAGTGGTTGAGCGTGGACCCATGCACCAAGAGGTTGCCTGTTTGATTCCCGGTCAGGGCACATGCCCAGGTTGTGGTCTCAATCCCCATAGCAGGGCATGCAGAGGCAGCCGATCAATGTCTGTCTGTCTGTCTGTCTGTGTCTCTCTTAAAAATTTTTTTTTTTAAAAAAAGCCCTAGCCGGTTTGGCTCAGTGGATAGAGTGTTGGCCTATGGATGAAAGGATCCTGGGTTCGATTCTGTTCAAGGGCATATGCCCGGGTTGCGGGTTCAAACCCCAGTGGGGGGATGCAGGAGTCAGCTGGTGAACAATTCTCTCTCATCATTGGTGTTATTATCTCTCCCTCCCTCTCCGTTCCTCTCTAGAAAAAATAAAACAAACAAACGGAAAACAGCTAAGCCCTAGTCGGTTTGGACAGAGCGTCAACCTGTGGACCAAAAGGTCCTGGGTTCAATTCAGTCAAGGGCATGTACCTGGGTTGCAGGCTCCTCCCTGTCCCCTGGCCCTGATCGGAGGTGGGGGGGGGGGCGTGTAGGAGGTAACCAATCGATGTGTTTCTCTCACATCGATGTTTCTCTCTGTCTCTCCCTCTCTTTAAAAAGAAAAAAAAATGAATGGAAAAACATCTCGATGGGGATTAACACACACACACACACACACACACACACACACACGACTACAGCCCTGTACGGTGACTCAGTTGGTTGGAGTGTCAGCGCACCCTAGCAAGGGACATTTGGACAAAGGGCAGTGGGGAGCCTGGGTCCAAGAATATCAAGGGAGGACAGAGAGGGGCAGTGCTGTGCTCTGGAGCGAGTTTATTACTCTTTTTAAAATATATATCTTTTTTATTGATTTTAGAAAGGAAGGGAGAGGGAGAGAGAGAGAAACATCCATGATGGGAGAGAATCATGGATCGGCTCTCTGTCTCCTGCCCGTAACCCGGCCATGTGCCCTTGACCGGAAATCAAACCCGGGACCCTTCAGTCCGCAGGCCAGCTGGTGCTCTATCCACTGAGCCACACCGGCTGGGGCCCCACCCCATTTTGCAGAGGAGGAATCACAGGCTCGGAGATTGAGGAACTTGTCCACAGAGGGAGTTCCAACCCCCTAGATCTGACACCCAACCCTAGGCCCCTGCATCGCAGACTCCAGGGAACCTCAGCCATGGTGGGACCTGGGGCGGGCCCAAGAGCAGCTTCGGGGGGGCCCCCTCCTCAGTTTCCCTCCTTCCCATAAGGGCTTCTCCCTTTTCTCCATTCCTGTTCTCTGGAGCTGATCCTATGGGATCTCTGTTCTTCCAAAGCCAATCCTATAAGATCTCTGTTCTTCCAGGGCCGACCCTATGGGATCTCTGGGCCTCAGTTTCTCTGTGCGTGTGCTGGGGCAGGGGTCTCTCTCTCCAGGCACAGGAAAAGGGAGAGAAGAAGGAAGGAAGGGCTGTGGGATCCCAGCCAGCCCAGGGTCTGCCCAGATGGCCCCTCCCGGCGCGCATGGTCCCGGGGCGGGAATGAGGCGCGGCCCCTTTAGGTCCCGCCCAGGAACTCCGGGCGCCGCGGCCTTCCCAGAACCGCAGGGAGCGGGAGTCGCTGGTCTCTGCTCCCGGTCCCGGTCCCGGTCCCGGTCCCGGTCCGGATCCCGAGGAGGATGAGCCGCATCTACCAGGACAGCGCGCTCCGGAACAAGGCGGTGCGGAGCGCGCAGCTGCGCGGGGCCTGGGAGCCGGCCGCGCACCAGGGGTAACCCCCCCCCCCCCGCACCCCGGCTTTTACTGGGGCTCCCCGATCGGGTGGGGTCTCCCGGATCCGGTGGGGTCTCCTGGGGGCCGGAGGGAGGAAAAGCAGGCGGTGCCATAGCTCCTCCCGCGCGCCCTCCCCTTGGCACGCAGGCGCGGCGCACCTCCCTGACACCGATCGATCGATCGATGGATCGATCGGGTTCAACCCTTTAGAGAGCGTTGGGTCTCTACCCCCAAACCTGGCCCCAACGTGGGTGCCGGTCCTCACGATCTCGGTCTCTCCACCCCCCACTCCCCCTGGCAGCCCGCTTGCCAGCTGGCCCAGCCTTCCTTCTGGCCTGGGCACGGCTGGCACCGGATCCAGAGTCCAGAGGGGTGTCGGGGCCGAGGGGTGGGGCGGGGGTGGGATGTGGGAGGTGCAGGCCTACCCCGAGGGACCCAGAAGTCGGGAGAAGGAAGGAACGGGCCTTTGAAGGTGGAGGAGAGTGACAGGGGCACTTGGGTACTGACAAGTTGCCATGTTTTGCACACACAACCCCCCGCCCCCACTTCCCGCCTCTCCCATTTTTGGGGTTCCCCCGAACAGGAAACCCACACTCAGTTCTGCTTTTATGCAAAGTGGAATCAGGAAGTGGGGTTCCCAGCTCCTCTCAGTGGGAACCCCGCAATCTGGACCATAGACTTCTTTGCTTCCAAAATAGCCATGAGAACAGGAATGTGAGAGTGCTTTAAACAGGTGAAAAAGCCCCAGCCAGTCTGGCTCAGTGGCTAGATTCCGGTCCCAGGTTCGATTCCCAGTCATGGGCATGTTACGGACACATATCCAGTGGGGCGTGTGCAGAAGGCAGCTGATCAATGTTTCTCTCTCATCGATGTTTCTAACTCTCTATCCCTCTCTCTTCCTCTCTGTAAAAAAATCAATAAAACATATTTTAAAAAAATAAATAAACAGGTGAAAAAGGAAAGATTTTTAAAATTTTTATTTTATTTTTTATTTATAAGACTTTTAATTTTTTCTTCTTTTTTTATTGTTTAAAGTATTACATGTATCTCCTTTTTCCCCCACCAATTGATCTTCCCCCTGTCCCATGCCCTCATCCCACCCGCCCAAGATTTTTTAAAAATTATTGGTTTGACTTGAGAGAAATAAGCATCAATTTGTTGTTGCACTTATTTATTCATTGATTGATTATTTTATAAAAAATATTTTTATTGATTTCAGAGAGGAAGGGAGAGGGGAGAGAGAGAGACAGAAACATCAATGATGAGAGAGGATCATTGACCAGCTGCCTCCTGCATGCCCCCTACTGGGGATCAAGCCCACAAACCGGGCATGTGCCTTTGACTGGAATCGAACCCGGGACCCTTCAGTCAGCAGGCTGAAGATGTTATCCACTGAGCCAAACCAGCTAGGGCAATTGGTTCTTATATAGGCCTTGACCCGGAATCAAACCTGCAACCATGGTCTAACCCAGTGGTCGGCAAACTCATTAGTCAGCAGAGCCAAATATCAACAGTATAAAGAATGAAATTTCTTTTTGATTGAGAACTTAAACGTCTTCTCATGCCACTTCTTCAAAATAGACTCGCCCAGGCCGTGGTATTTTGTGGAAGAGCCACACTCAATGGGCCAAAGAGCCCCTTGTGGCTCTCGAGCCGCAGTTTGCTGACCACGGGTCTCATCAACCCAACTACCTAGCCAAGGCAGGAAAGATAACTTTATAGCAACTTAGACACCCTTTCTAATTTGGTTAAATAAAAAAGTAAGCTCTTTTATACTTAATAAACACTGATTAATTTACCAAACACTTCATATACATGATCTTCATCATCATAGATGCAGAGTGAGATGACTGTTACTCTCCCATTTTGCAGATAGGAAGACTGAGTCCCTGGTGACAGTCCTCCCCGCAGGAGGGGCCATCATTTGGCCTTGCAGTTTGACAAGGTTTCCTCCTTCCCCCCTGAGCAGCACCCCAACCTTTGAGACCCCCAAAGGCATGGAGGCCCCATATGGGAAGCACAGAGAAAGGGGCTGCTCATATACATGGGAGCTGCCTCAGTTCCAGTGCAGACTCTGACGCGGGCCTGGAACCTGGGGTTCTCTCTTGACGACTGGCAGAGCCAGCTGATCCTTCCCTTCTCATCCCATCCAGGGGAAATGGTGTCCTGCTGGAGGGAGAGCTGGTGGATGTATCTCGGCACAGCATCTCGGATGCTCATGGCAGAAAGGTGAGGATGCCAAAACCGGTGTGGCTCAGTGGATAGAGCGTCGGCCTGCGGACTGAAAGGTCACAGGTTCGGTTCCGGTCAAGGGCATGTGCCTTGGTTGCGGGCACATCCCCAGTGGGGGGTGTGCAAGAGGCAGCTGGGAAGAAGGGAGAGGGATAGAGAGTTAGAAACATCGATGGGAGAGAATCATTGATCAGCTGCCTCTTGCACACCCCCCACCAGGGATGTGCCTTCGACCAAGGTACATGCCCTTGACTGGAATCGAACTTGGGACCTTTCAGTCCTCAGGCCGACGCTCTATCCACTGAGCCACACCGGTTTCGGCTATCAATGGTATTTCTATCTCTCTCTCCCTCTCCCTTCCTCTCTCTGAAATCAATAAAAATATATTAAAACAAAACAAAACGTGAATGAATGAATGAATGAATGAATGGATGGATGTACGTATGGGTGGACTACTGGATCAATATTGGAGTAGGCAGGGACCTGCACAGCTAGAATGTTTTTGGAGCCAAAGGTGGGGTTCCAGGGTGTAGAGTGAGTTTGGGGAGGGCTGCAGGGAGTGTGTGTGTGTATTGGGGGTGGGAGAGGGGGAGTGGAGCAGCCCCCTAACTCTCCGCCTGCCCCCCAGGAGCGCTACTACGTGCTGTACATCCGGCCCAGCCACATCCACCGCCGGAAGTTCGACCCCAAGGGAAACGAGATCGAGCCCAACTTCAGCGCCACCAGGAAGGTGAACACAGGCTTCCTCATGTCGTCCTACAGTAGGTACCTCGGCCCTGCAGCCCGAGAAAGGGTCTTTTCAGCACGATTGACTCTATTTTATAAATACATATTTATTGCCGAAACCGGTGTGGCTCAGTGGGTAGAGCGTCGGCCTGCAGACTGAAGGGTCCCGAGTTCGGTTCCCATCAAGGGCATGTGCCTTAGTTGCGGGCACATCCCCAGTAGGGGGTGTGCAAGAGGCAGCTGATGGATGTCTCTCTCTCATCGATGTTTCTAGCTCTCTATTCCTCTCCCTTCCTCTCTGTGAAAAATCAATAAAATATATTTTTTTAAAAATAATAATAAATGAATATTTTTATTGATTTCAGAGAGGAAGAGAGAGGGGGAGAGAGAGAGAGAAACATCAGTGATGAGAGAGAATCATGGATCGGCTGCCTCCTGCACGCCCCTGACGGGAATCAAACTGTGACCTCCTGGTTCATAGGTCGACCCAACTACCAAGCCAAGGCAGCCAGGCAGCATGCTAGGCTTTCAAGCCCATGTCTGGCCAAAACCGGTTTGGCTCAGTGGATAGTGCGTCAGCCTGTGGACTGAAAGGTCCCAGATTCGATTCCGGTCAAGGGCGTGTACCTTGGTTGCGGGCACATCCCCGGTGGGGGTTGTGCAGGAGGCAGCTGGTCAATGTGTCTCTCTCATCAATGTTTCTAGCTCTCTATCCCTCTCCCTTCCTCTCTGTGAAAAATCAATAAAATATATTTAAAATAAAATAAAAATAAAATAAAGCCCATGTCTGGCCTGAGGGCCCCTGTCTGAACCCTGTACCCCATTCATGCAGATGATCCCAGTGCCCGGCCCTTCCCCCTCCCCCTACCCCCTCAGTCTGGCAGAATCACCCATGAACCTGGCTCTGGGCTCTCACTGCCTTGGTGCAGAGCCCAGGCCAAGGCCGCAGGGGCCTCCACTTTGCTGTCAAAATTCTCATTTGGGTCCTGGGCCCTTCGGGGTGTCGTTTCTCTCCCTGGTGTTGGCAGTAGCGGGACCTCTGCTACCTACCCCTGTGAGGGAAGGTTTTGAGGTTGCCCGGCATCCATCCATCCCCCTGTCATTGCGTTCATCCGTGCTTTCCACAGCTCATTCATTCTCTGAGCATGGTCGTTGTTCATCCTCACCCGAGGATATTTTTCCCATTGATTTTTAGAGAGCGGAAAGGAGGGGCAGAGACAGAGAAACATCGATGTGAGAGAGACACAGTGATTGGCTGACTCCTGCATGTGCCCCAGCTAGGACCTGGAACCAAGCCTGCAATCTGTACGTGCCCTTGACTGGCATTGAACCCGGGAACCCTTCAGTCGAAGGCTGATGCTCTACCCACTGAGCAAAACCAGTTAGGGCTGAACATTTATTTATTTATTTTTATTTTTTTTAAATGTATTTTATTGATTTTTTTTTACAGAGAGGAAGGGAGAGGGATAGAAAGTCAGAAACATCGATGAGAGAGAAACATTGATCAGCTGCCTCTTGCACACTCCCTACTGGGGATGTGCCCGCAACCAAGATACATGCCCTTGACTGGAATCGAACCTGGGACCTTTCAGTCTGTAGGACAACGCTCTATCCACTGAGCCAAACCGGTTTCAGCTGAACATTTATTTTTTTTTTATTAGAGGCCTGGTGAATGAAAATTCTTTTCTTTTTTTTAAAATATATTTTATTGATTTTTTTACCAAGAGGAAGAGAGAGGGATAGAGAGTTAGAAACATCAATGAGAGAGAATCATCGATCAGCTGTCTCTTGCACACTCCCTACTTGGGATGTGCCAACAACCAAGGTACATGTCCTTGACCGGAATCGAACCTGGGACTTTTAGTCTGTAGGCCAATGCTCTATCTACTGAGCCACACCGGTTAGGGCTAATTTATTTGTTTTTTAATCTCACTCGAGAATATTTTTCCATTGAGTTTTAGGGAGAGGGGAAGAGAGAGGGAAAGACAGAGAGAAACATCGATGTGGGAGAAACACATTGACTGGTTGCCTCCTGCACGGAGCCAGGGAGGAGCCTGCAATGGAGACACGTGCCCTTGACTGGAATTGAGCCCAGGATCCATCGGTCAGTAGGCCGATGCTCTATCCACTGAGCCGCACCGTCTAGGGCCCTCCGTGCTGGTCCCACAGTGGGAACAACCCATCCTCTTGTGCTGTGTGCCTGCAGAGGTGGACGCCAAGGGGGACACGGACAGACTCACGCCCGAGGCCCTGAAGGAGCTGGTGAATAAGCCGGAGCTGCTCGCTCTGACCCAGAGCCTCACGCCCGAGCAGACCGTGGCCTTCTGGGTGCCCGAGTCCGAGATGGAGGCCCTGGAGCTGGAGCTGGGGGCCGGGGTTCGGCTGAAAACCCGAGGCGACGGCCCCTTCCTGGGTGAGCAGTGCAGCCCTCGTGTTCCCATTTGGCCTGGGGGCCCCCCCAAACCCTCCTGCTTGGAGATCCGGGAGCAGCCAGGTCTGGCCTCTGGGAGACAAGACCCTTTGAGATACATCCCTAAATTCCAGGGCATTGCCCTGAGGCCCCGGACACCCTGGATTGTGGGGTGCTGTCCAATCCCATGGTACCTGTGGGTGCCCTTTCCTACCGTGTTTCCCCGAAAATAAGACATCCTCCGAAAATAAGACCTACTTACAGGTTTCCTTCTGAGTGAAATAGAAGGCATCCCCCCGAAAATAAGCCCCCCCCCCCCAGACTAAACATGAGAGATTTGACCCACTGATTCTGAAAGAAATGGAGTCACAAGAAATTCACCAGGAAATTCAGGAATTGGCTTGTTAGGATGATGTTCCAGAAGATGATGACGGGATTGTCATCGAATAAATGAGTCAATTCTTGATACTGTGGGATTCACAGTCTGTCTGGTTTGTGTTGACAACTACCGTACTACCGTACCATGCACAGGTAATAAATTTCCTTTATTTTCATTTAACAATAAATGTGCACCGTATTCTTCTTCATGGAAAAATAAGGCATCCCCTGAAAATAAGACCTAGTGCATCTTTGGGAGCAAAAATTAATAGAAGACACTGTCTTATTTTCGGGGAAACAGGGTAGCTGGGGCCTTGGGGGTCCCTTCCACGGTCTCCCTGAGGTCCACACCCAGGCCTGCAGAGAACAATGGCTCACGCCCCGGCCACAGGGACCCCAGGAGAATGGGGCCAGCCCCCCAGTGGGTTCCCGCCCCAGGAAGAGAGGCCACTCAATTTCCTTCCTTCTCGCAGATTCGTTAGCCAAACTCGAGGCTGGAACAATGACCAAGTGCAACTTCGCTGGCGACGCGAAGACGGGCGCATCATGGACCGACAACATCATGGCCCGGAAGCCTTCCGGAGGGGCCACGGCGGAGACCAGAGAGCAGGGCGACGGGGCGGAGGATGCGGAGTGGGTAGGTCCGGGGCAACGACCGTGGACCTGGCGATGGAGTGGTTTACCTCTTGGCAGGACTTGTGCGTTTCTAATATTTTTTAATATATATATATATATATATATATATATATATATATATATATATATCTTATTGATTTTTTAACAGAGAGGAAGGGAGAAGGATAGAGAGCTGGAAACATGGATGAGAGAGAGTCATCGATCAGCTGCCTCTTGCATGCCCCCCCACTGGGGATGTGCCTGCAACCAAGGTACATGCCCTTGACCAGAATCGAACCTGGGACCCTTCAGTCCAAAGGCCAATGCTCTATTTACTGAGCCAAACCAGTTAGGACTGTTTTTAATTTTTTTTTTTTTATTGCTTTTTTGAGAGGAAGGGCGAGGGAGAGAGAAAAACATCAATGATGAGAGAGAGAATCATGGATCGGCTGCCTCCTGCACGCCCCCTACTGGGAATCAAGCCCACAACCCAGGCATGTGCCCCTGACCGGGAATGCAACTGTGACCTCTTGGTTCCTGGGTCAGCGCTCAACCACTGAGCCACACCGGCTGGGCTGGACGGGCTTGGCTGGAGCTTTGTCCGTACCAGCGGCAGTTGTGTGTAGGACAAGGAGACGGCAGTGTGAACTTGACCCTCCAGCCTTGACACTCCGTGGCCTTCCTAAGGGTGTGTTGCATCGGGAAAATTCTTCAAGGTGTGAAGGCGGACAATCTGGGACCTTCCATTTTTTCTTATTTCTTTTTTCTCTTCACCTGAGGATATTTTCCCATTGATTTCTAGAGAGAGTGGAAGGGGGCGGGAAAGACAGAGAAATATCGATGTCAGAGAGACACCTTGATTGGTTGCTCCTGCATGCGCGCCCCTACCAGGGCCCAGGCCAGGGAGGAGCCTGCAACCCAGATACGTGCCCTTGACCAGAATCGAACCTGGGACCCTTCAGTCCACAGGCCAGTGCTCTATCCACTGAGCCAAACTAGCCAGGGCCTGGAATCTTTCTTTTTGGAGGATCTGAACTGTGCCCATTTACAAGAAATCCCCAGAGATGTATAAAAGTAAGGGACAGCCTGGGTTGTGGGCTTGATCCCCAGTGGGGGGCATGCAGGAGGCAGCTGATCCATGATTCTCATCATTGATGTTTCTCTCTCACTCCCTCTCCCTTCCTCTCTGAAATCAATTAAAAAAAAACAAACAAAAAAACGGGACACAGAGAATGGACAGTAGAAGGGACCATGTGACTTCAGAGCAAGTCTGCAAACACCGTCACACCCAGCGACTACCATCAGCCAGGCTGGGGCAGCCAAGCAAGGAATGCGTATTTCCTTTCTCTGTTCTGGGCGCTCTGCCCAGAGCGGCTAGGAAATGGCTAACGGGGTGCTCAGCAGTTGTTGTTTTTTTCTTTGTTTGTTTGCCAATGGTTAGCCCTCTAGTTGACCTCAGCCTGCTCACCGCTTACTATTTGTTTTTGCGGAAGTGTATTTCACCTGAAGATCTGAATTGATGTCAAAAGCCCCAAATGGAGCATTCAGAAACAGAGTCACAGAAAAATGGGCTGTTTGTCTCGGTGATGGAGATGACAGCCTTTGTCCAAAAAAACAGAGCACAGGTGGACAAGAGGGTCTGGATTTCCATTTGTCTTTTTTTTTTTTTTTAATTTATTGATTTTTATACAGAGAGGAAGGGAGAGAGATAGAGAGCTAGAAACATCGATGAGAGAGAGTCATCGATCAGCTGCCTCTTGCACACCCCCTACTGGGGATATGCCCGCAACCAAGGTACATGCCCTTGACCGGAATCAAACCCGGGACCCTTCAGTCCCCAAGCCGATGCTCTATCCATTGAGCCAAACCCGTCCCGGCTCCATTTGTCTTGATAAAGTGAGTTTTGGCCCGGCTGGTGTCGCCCAGGAGATCAGAGTTCAATTCCCGGTCAGGGCACTTGCTTGGGTTATGGGCTCCATTCCCAGTGTAGGGTGTGCAAGAGGCAGCTGATCAATGATTCTCTCTCATCGTTAATGTTTCTCTCTCTCCTTCCCCTTTTCTCTCTGAAATTAATAAAAATAAATTAAAAAATAAAGTAAGTAAGTCTTGGACAGAGAAACAATTGGAGATGTCAGCTGACGCCCTGGGCCACCTCTAAAGAGGTGAGGCTGAGTCCTAGCGAGTTTGGCTCAGTGGATAGAGCGTCAGCCTGCAGACTGAAGGGTCCCAGGTTCAATTACCATCAAGGGCATGTACCTTGGTTGCGGGCACATCCCCAGTTCGGGGTGTGCAGGAGGCTGCTGATGGGTATTTCTCTCATCGATGTTTCTAATTCTCTCTTCCTCTCCCTTCCTCTCTATAAAAAAAATCAATAAAATATATATTTTTAAAATATGTGCTCACTTCACGTCTCTTTGCTTTATCCCCAGGACGACTGAGGTTTCTGGAAGAAGCCGTAACCCCAGGGCTCACCGACCCTGAGAATTTCTGCCATCGACTTCCCTTCTGTAGTTCAAGGAAGGATTTTTAAAAAATGCCCGGCTGGTGTGGCTCAGTGGTTGAGCATCAACCTAGGAACCAGGAGGTCACCAGAAGCCTTACTCACTTTGAACAAGCTGTGCTGAGACCAAATCCACAGTCACACCCTTAGCATCAGGGCCGTTGGCTGTGGCTCACGGAGGAGTCCTCCCTGAGTGGGGAATGTAGCCTCCTAGTTTCTTGACAGCCACAGCCTGAGGGCAGCTGTGTCTCTGCAGGCAGGTGGTGAGTGAGTGCCCCAGCGCAGTCAGAGGAACTGGGCTTGGTCTCGGTGCAAAATTGGGAAACATCCCTCTTGTATATGCAAAGCGGCCTGGAGGAGAAGCTGACAGCTACTCCCGCTGCCCTGGGATTCTCCCAGTTCTTCCCTCACCTGTCTTCTCTGGTGCTCTGGGCCGGGGTCTCTGCTGCTCAGGCCTCCTGTCCCTGGCGCCTTTTCTCTCCTGAAGCTGCCAGTTCTCTGTTCCTCCTCTGGGTCTCCACCACCTTGGGGGTTCCTGCCTCCTGGCCTCTCTGTCTGCTTGTCTGGGGATGCTGTGCCCAGGTGTGGCTGGCTGGCTCTCACCTCTCACATACACTCTGCCAGGCCACGTTTTTGATAGCACTTTTCCCCCCTCCCCCTTTTTCTTTTTTAAACAAAGCATTTTTTTTTTTTTTTTTTTTTTTTTTTTTATTTCAGAGAGGAAGGGAGAGGGAGAGAGAGATAGAAACATCAGTGATTTACAGTGGAGAGGGGAGGAAGATCTGGGGGAGATAATAGATCAACTGAAGGACTTGTATACATGCATATAAGTACAACCAATGGACATAAAACTCTTGGGAGGGAGGGTATGTGTGGGAGGGAGGGAGGGGGGCAAAAAAAAAATCAATAAAATATATTAAAATAAATAAATAAATAAATAAATAAATAAATAAAAAGAAACATCAGTGATGATGCTGCCTCCTGCACGGGGGATGGAGCCCAAAACCTGGGCATGTGACCTGACTGGGAATCAAACTGGTGACCTCCTGGTTCCTAGGTTGATGCTCAACCACTGAGCCACACTGGCCGGGCATTTTTTTTTTTTTAAATCTTTATTGTTGAAAGATTAAAAAGACGTATTGTTTATATGTTCCCTTTTCCCTCCATTGCCCTCTCCTGCCCCTGTCCCCCCAGGCCTTCACCACCCTATTCTGTGTCCATGGGTTATGCATATATGCACACAAGTTCAGTGGTTGATCTCTCCCTGCCTTCCCTCTGAGGTTTGACAGTCTGTTCCAGGTTTCTATGTCTCTGGGTCTATTTTTGTTCATCAGTTTATGAGATTATCCTTTTTCCATTGTTATATAATCACTTTCCATATTGCTACTGAGTTTTCATAACCATTATTATTATTTTTTTAAGATCGGCTACCATTTAATAGCTCTATCGTTGTCCAATTTTGGGGTAATTCTTTGGTTCCTTTTTAAAGATATATATGTATATATATTTTTTTAATTGATTTTTTTTACAGAGGAAGGGAGAGAGAGAGAGTTAGAAACATCAATGAAAGAGAAATATCAATCAGCTGCCTCCTTCACACCCCCCCCCTCCCACTGGGAATGTGCCCGCAGCCAAGGCACATGCCCTTGACCGGAATCAAACCTGGGACCCTTCAGTCCGCAGGCCAACGCTCTATCCACTGAGCCAAATCGTTTCTGGCTAACACTTTTAAAAACTGTATTTAAGAAGGTGAAAATACTTTAATTTTAAAGTTAATACTTTATTTTAATTAGCCTTTCCCCCATTAATAGTGAGCTTAAACATTTTCATTTCCTAGATGTGTTTCCTCTTTTGTTTTTCAGTTTCTTTGCCCATTTATTTACTAAGGGTTTTCAGTTTATCACAGCTATTTCTGTTTTAAAATATAACCATTTGCCATATTTTCTGAGACTGACGCGCTGCCTACTGCGCTAAAGAGGCAGCTCATTGGCCATTTTAACAACTTTTCCATTTTTATTTGTTCCCACATTTAAAAATTGGTTTTACAAATATAAAGTCTTTATATAGAGCTGATGACTTGTGATTTTTATCGCTTCTAAGATATTCTTTTCAGCTGTTCCGCAACTTCATTTTCCTCCATTTTGGTTATTACCTAGTTTTATATTTAAGTCTCTAAACCACTTTCCTAATCTTTAATTTTAGAAGGATATGAAGTGAGATAACGAAATTGCTTAAATTTCAAATTGCTAACCAGTTATGCCAACATATTTATTGCATTTCCCCCCACTGTCAGGTTATCATTTCTCCTACATCACATAGTAAATTATTTCATATTTCAATTAGCCATTATATTTCAGTGGGTTTGCTATAATGACAATGTGACTATAACAGTAGGTTTTGATAGTTGGTAGAGCTAATTACCCTCATTCTTTTAGAATTTTCTTTGGTACTCCTCTCAACATTGAAAACATTTTGTCAAGTTTCAGTGCATATTACTGCCTTTTGGATTTTTTTGAATTAAACAACCTTGGCTACAAGACTAATACATTTTTAAAAATATATTTTATGATTTTTTTTTTACAGAGAGGAAGGGAGGATAGAGAGCTAGAAACATCGATCAGCCGTTTCTTGCACACCCTCCACTGGGGACGTGCCCGCAACCAAGGTACATGCCCTTGACCGGAATCGAACCTGGAACCCTTAAGTCCGCAGGCCGATGCTCTATCCACTGAGCCAAACCAGTTTAGGCTAGCGTAATACATATTTATTTTAGAAAAGGTATTGATCGATTTTGAGAAACAGAGAAACATTCATTTGTTGGGTCTAATGTTATTTTTTTAAACATTTTAAAATTGATTTCAGAGAGGAAGGGAGAGGGGGAGAGAGAGGGAGATTCATGATGAAACAGAATCATTGATTAGCTGCCTCCTGCACACCCATACAGCTTGTGAGGGCCGGGCATGGGTCCAATACATTTTAAAGGTGTTTGAAACAGTCCCAGTCATTTGTATAAATGGCCCAGTTTGCACCTCCATCTGTAGTCTAAGTAGGTGCTCCACCTCACCCGACTGTCATTAAACATAAAAATAAATTAAAAACAAATTTTACCAATATGGGGTTGTCAGTACCTTTTCAATGGGATTGCATTAGAGATATTTTGACTGCACCATTCATATCTACCATGGATGGAATCAGGAAGGAAGGAAGGAAGGAAGGAAGGAAGGAAGGGAGGGAGGGAGGGAGGGAGGGAGGGAGGGAGGGAGGAAGGAAGGAAGGAAGGAAGGAAGGAAGGAAGGAAGGAAGGAAGGAAGGAAGGAAGGAAAAGAGGAGGAAGGAAAGAAAGAAAAAGATCTTAACGTGCTCCAACTGGGAAAAGGCTAAATTAGCCTGCATCGCATAGAGGGCAAGCAGGACGTTATGTCGGGATGTGGATGGGGAGAGAGGGAGGCCTCCGCCACTTCGCGCAGGCGTCCCTGCGTGGGAACCTGCTTCTCCCACGTGATCAGTGAGGCGAGCGGTCGATCTGGGCAAAGGACACAGATCCAGACTCGCGTCCCGGCCAGGCTGACCGAGGAGACAACCCTCCCAGCCTCGGGGTCTCGTGGCCCCCCCATCATCCTATCCCCGCGAGCCTGCAGCGGGTCCTGGCTCCTTCTCCGCGATCCGGAAGCCGGCCTCTTCGCGGTCCGGCCCTCAGGCGCAGCAAGGGGGGGCGTTTCCGCCGGTCGCTTTTCAACGGCGCACCCGCCGGAAGTGGCCGTGTTGTGGCGGAAGTTGATGTTTCCGGAGACAGCAGGCTGCTCGAAAGGAGCGTGACGGCCGGCAGAGATGATTCAGGCGATTCTGGTTTTCAACAACCACGGGAAGCCGCGGCTGGTCCGCTTCTACCAGCGCTTCGTGAGTGCGGCCCGGCTGCGTCACGTCCCTCCGGGGCACCGCGTCCCCTTCCTCCCGACCCCCAGGCCCCGGCGGCGCCCGCGGGCCCCCCTCTCCGCTGACCACCTCGGGCTCCCTCACCACGCGTGACCCTCACACACGCCGACCTCTTTCCCGCTCTCCCTGACCCCTTTCCGGACCCTGGCATTTCTATACCATTTTGTTTTTATTATTTTTTAAAATATATATATTTTTTTTATTGATTTTTTTTTTTTTTTTTTTTTTTTTTTTTACAGAGGAAGGGAGAGGAATAGAGAGCTAGAAACATGGCTGAGAGAGAAACATCGATCAGCTGCCTCCTGCACACCCCCTACTGGGGATGTGCCCGCAACCAAGGTACATGCCCTTGACTGGAATCGAACCCGGGACCCTTCAGTCCACAGGCTGATGCTCTATCCACTGAGCCACACCGGTTAGGGCTCTATGCCATTTTGTGACATCTCCTTGGTCTCCGGGCTGTCTGTAAGTGACCGGGGTACCTCAAGGAGACCCTGACTGAAACATCAATGATGAGAGAATCATTGATCGACTGCCTCCTGCACACCCCATACTGGGGATGGAGCCTGCAACCCGGGCATGTGCTCTTGACCGGAATCAAACCTGGGACCATCCTGTCTACACATCAGTGCTCTAACCACTGAGCAATCCAGCTGGGGCCATGTACTACATGTTTTTATGTGGACATGTGTTTTTCATCCCTCTTGATTTTATACCTAGGAGTAGAATTTCTGGGTCATACGGCCGCTTTATGGTGAACTGCCCATTTTTTTCCAAGAGACTGAACCCTTTGGCATTTCCATCGCAGTATGCGTTCCAATTTCTCTACCTCCCTGGTGACTTCTGTTAATCTTTTCCATTAACGATGTCTTAGTGAGTGTGAGTGTCTTAGTAGGTTTTTATTGTGGTTTTAATTCCCATTTCCCTAATGTCTAATGATGTTGAGCATCTTTTCTTGTCCTTATTAACCATTTGTACTATCTGTGAAGAACATAGTATTTTTGTAAAAACCATATTAGCTTAGGAGTGAAAATTAACCTTGTAAAAAGAGAAGTATTGAAGGATATGAGGGATTATTAAAATAATTGAGGGGGGGGGAAGGAGAAACAATTGTAGTAATCTGAACAATAAAGATTTATTAAAAGAAGGAAAGAAAGAAAAAAAGAATAAAATAAATAATTGAGGTCTAACCTTATCTGGCTTGGCTCAGTGGATAGACCGTTGGCTTGCAGACTGAAAGGTCCCGGGTTTGATTCCAGTCAAGGGCACATGGCTGGGTTGTGGGCACAATCCCCAATGTGAGGTGTGTAGGAGGCAGCCAATCAATTCTCATCATTGATGTTTCTATCTTTCTCTACCTCTCCCTTCCTCTCTGAATTCAATAAAAATAATAATAATCACTGAGGACTATAAACAATTGGTAGTTTACCTTTTTGTTGAATTAGAAATTCGGTAGCTTCATCATTTCATATTTTTTCCACCATCTGCTGCCACCTCCACCCTAGAGTCAGATTTAAAGGCTCTAGTTTGAAAGATGTTTTTCTCAGTTTAAAAAAGTGCTAATGCTTCCCTCTGTGAGCTTGAAATGGAAACCAGGAAAATACTTGGTTGATTTACTCAGATTTACAAGGGCCAGTGATTAGTACGTTTTCATTCATCCGTCAGTAAATACCAAGCCGCTGTGCTAGTGTACCCATGGCGAGTCAAAGTTCTGAAAAATGGCTTCTCCACCATGACATTTTCCCCGTTTTTACCTCTGTTTCTTTTCAGTAACTAAACATTTCAAGTATAAATTGCTACAGAAAGAAAGGTATTAACATTTTTTTGAAAAACATATTTTATTGTTTTTTTTACAGAGAGGAAGGGAGAGAGAGAGAAACATCAATGAGAGAGAAACATCGATCAGCTGCCTCCTGCACACCCCCCACTGGGAATGTACCCGCAACCAAGATACATCCCTTGACAGGAATCGAACCTGGGACCTTTCAGTCCGCAGGCTGATGCTCCATCCACTGAGCCACACCGGTTTCGGCTGGTCTAGAGCTTTCGATTGCTTCTGTAATGACTGGTTCCCCCCCCCCCCTTTTTTTTTTTTTTTTAAACCATACTCATTTTGAACTTTATATGTATAAACAGAAATCAAATGTGAATTATCAAGAGATTCCATCATAGTCAACCTCTCTCAGATGTGATAAGTGGGGAGGGGGGAGTATTTGTAGCTCTGCAATTATTCAAAATTCTTTTTCTCTATAGAACTATCTTTCTCAGTAACATTGTTGGTAGCACATCTTATATGTAATACCAACATCACCAGCAGATAAGATGACCAGTTGTTCTGTTTGTTTTTTAACGTGTACACAGTTACATCTCGACCTCTTTAAGGTGTTAGGCCTGTTGGCGTTATTTGCCCCGCCATAGATGTTTTCCAGGGCAAGACAAAATATTTCAGGGCCACGCCTTCTACTTATTCTTTCACCTTGCTGGAGAGTTGTCAATTCTCCTTTCTTTATTATTTTTTTCAAATACATTTTATTGATTTTGTACAGAGAGGAAGGGAGAGAGATAGAGTTAGAAACATCGATGAGAGTCATCGATCAGCTGCCTCTTGCACACCCCCCACTGGGGATATGCCCGCAACCAAGGCACATGCCCTTGACCGGAATCGAACCCGGGACCCTTCAGTCCCCAAGCTGACGCTCTATCCATTGAGCCAAACCGGTCCCGGCTCTCCTTTCTTTATTATTAACTATAACCGGATTCGTGCACTGGTGGCGTCTCTCTGCCTGGCCTGCAGGGTTTGAGCTGAAACCGCCTCTCCGACATCCCCCAAGGGGTCCCGGATTGCAAGAGGGCGTTTCTCAGGTGACATTCCCCGAAATCGGGCTCCCTCCTCTCTGGTTCCGGCTGCATCACTGGAGAACCTCAGCTCCCAAGTCACTGTAGCTCAGCAGCTACTGTGCTGAGCATCTGCCCCCTGGCGGTCAGTGTATGTCATAGCTACCAGTTGGCTGATCGCTTGGGCTTTTATATATATTGATATCAGATTATCTGTCAGGACAGTGGTGAGTGATTAGATAGCTTGTTAAATATACCTTTCTTTTTGTTTGTTTTGTTTTTATAATACTTTTGTTGATTTCAGAGCAGAAGGGAGAGAGAGAGATGGAACCACCAACGATGAGAGAGAAACACTGATCGGCTGCCTCCTGCACACCCCACACTGGGGATGGAGCCCGCAACCCAGGCCTGTGCCCTGATGGGAATCGAACCGTGACCTCCTGGTTCATAGGTCGACGTTCAACCACTGAGCCACACCGGCTGGGCTATATACCCTTGCTTAATTCCTATAACAGAGCCTTGTCCATTTCTCCAGAGATTCCCCTGTTATTCTCTTTTTTCTCTATTCATCCCTTTTTTCTGGGATCTGGTACCATATGTTCAGATCATTCCCAGCTTGGAAGCACTTCTCTCCCTATCCACCTCCATCAGTGGGATACATTTCCAGATGCCCCAGCTCAGCGGTCGGCAAACCCATTAGCCAACAGAGGGGCGAACCTCAGATTGCGAGCCGCAGTTTGCCGACCACTGCCCCCTGCTGATTCGCTTTACTTCTTTTATCCCACAGCCCGAAGAAATTCAGCAGCAGATTGTCCGAGAGACCTTCCATCTGGTTCTCAAACGGGATGACAACATCTGTAACTTCCTGGAGGGCGGGAGGTAAGAGACCAGCTTCCGGTTTCTCCCCACGTGTCCTCCCCCTTTTGGGTGGCCTTCGTCATTCCTGCTGGAGGCAGCGCTCACGTGACAGCTGGGTACCCTGTGCAGCCGGAGCTGACCTTGGCATGACGGGCTGAGGGAAAGACCCCATTCCGTTTGGAAGCTGTTGAACGGTTGTGTTTCGGATTTTTCTCACTTAAGAGGTTTGGTTTCTGGGAGGATGGGCAAAAAAAAAAAAAAAAAGTGAGGAAAGTGATTTAGGCACCACGGCCAAGCGTGGTCACACTCGCCTGGTAGAACTGGCCTATGCTTTGGCCAATCCTCCCCCTGTGTGCTGGCTCAGGTCCCAATTCCCTGGGACAGGGGTTGCTCTTTGATGTGTTTAATTAAGATGCAGGGATTTAGCCGAAGCTGGTTTAGCTCAGTGGATAGAGCGGCGGCCTGCGGACTGAAAGGTCCCAGGTTCGAGTCCGGTCAAGGGCATGTATCTTGGTTGTGGGCACATCCACAGTAGGGGGTGTGCAAGAGGCAGCTGATTGATGTTTCTAACTCTCTATCCCTCTCTCTTCCTCTCTGTAAAAAAAAAAAATCAATAAAATATATATTTTTTAGATGCGGGGATTTAAGTGTTTTCTGTCTTCCACAGCTTGATTGGTGGTTCTGATTACAAACTGATCTATCGGCACTACGCTACCCTCTACTTCGTATTTTGTGTGGATTCATCCGAGAGTGAACTTGGGATCTTGGACCTCATCCAGGTACGTGCAGTCAGCTAATGACAGCAGGTGCTTTAGGGTTTTTGTTTGTTTGTTTGTTTTTAACATATTTTATTGATTTTGTACAGAGAGGAAGGGAGAGAGATAGAGAGCTAGAAACATCGATGAGAGAGAAACATCAACCAGCTGCCTCCTGCACACCCCCTAATAGGGATGTGCCTGCAACCAAGGTCCATGCCCTTGACCGGAATCGAACCCGGGACCTTTCGGTCCCCAAGCCGACGCTCTATCCATTGAGCCAAACCGGTTTCGGCTGCTTTGGGTTTTTGAGTAGCCATCCTATAGATCCTTTTGTCAGTCTCTGGACTGATACTGGTACAGTTGCCATATGTCCACCAGATGGCGCTCTGAGAAAGCTCCACTGCAACCCTTCAACACTCAGAGCTTTTGGGTTCATTGGTTCCTACCATCTCTCTCGCTGCCCTTGGTTTTTATGTTCATTTGTGTACATTTCCAGTAGCTCGCTACTTGTTTTTTTTGCTTTTCAACCATTCCCTTTTCTCGCCGTTCTTGTCATTTCTCTGCCCTTCCCAACCTCCCAGCTAGAGTGTCTTCTCAAACCGGTTTCGGCTATTCCTTGGGTTCTTGGTCTTGATCATGAACTTGAATAATGGTGTTTTGAGGCTTGAGGGAAAAAATACACGTGACTGCTCCATATATGTGTGTGTGTGTGTGTGTATGTACATGTGTATATGTATGTATACACACACATATGTACATATATATGTTCTTTTTTATTAATTTCTTTTTATTTAGAGAGAGGGAGAGGGAGAGAGAAACAACCCCTTATCTCTAAGCCACAGAGCAATAAAGGAAGACAAACACGAGCTGCTAAACAAACAAGAAACACAAACGAGATGATCTCTTAGAAATTAAAAACCCGAGAGGAAAATGGAGAGCAAAGATAAGAAAATGAAGAGGTTCTGTTTTGTTTGAGATTTACATCAGGTACATGGTATCATGACTTCGCCTTTTACTTTCCAGTGTGCTGTTTATGAAGATGTGAATATTTCCCGTTTCTTTCCTTTTCTGATTTCTCTGTGTTTCCTAGGTTTTTGTGGAGACCCTGGATAAATGCTTCGAAAACGTTTGTGAATTGGACCTGATCTTCCACATGGACAAGGTACCTTCTCTCCCAAACCAGGGTTCCCAGGAAGCCAAGCGCCTCAGCCATCCCTCTGCACCTTCATGTGATTTCTTTTGTGCTTTTTCCCTTGGGACAGTCCTAGAACCTGGTTTTGCTTTTTCTTAATATGTTTTTTAAAATATATATTTTATTGATTTTTTTTTTTTACAGCAAGGAAGGGAGAGTAATAGAGAGTTAGAAACATCGATGAGAGAGAAACACCAATCAGCTGCCTCCTGTACACATCCCACTGGGGATATGCCTGCAACCAAGGTACATGCCCTTGACCGGAATCGAACCTGGGACCTTTCAGTTCACAGACCAACGCTCTATCCACTGAGACAAACCAGTCAGGGTTCTTAATATGTCTTTTTGACACTCAACCAACTAAGCCATACTGGTCGGACCTAGAACCTGATAGATATATATTTGAGAAGGGAAGGGAGAGGGAGAGAGAGATAGAAATATCAGTGATGAGAGAGAATTATGGATCAGCTGCCTCCTGCAGGCCCTCTACTGGGGATCGAGCCCACAACCCAGGCATGTGCCCTGACTGGGACTCGAACCCCGACCTTCTGGTTCATAGGTCGACGTTCAACCACTGAGCTACGTCAGCCGGGCAGAACCCATTTTTATTTACCAACTTAAGTGTGATTGTTTTGGGGGTTCTTTGCAAAGATCTGTTCCCAGTGGTAACACCCAGAGATCACTCTGGGGCCTGTATCATGGTTCGGCTTTCCATACAGACCTCCTGGTGGATGGCAGCCACGTCCCCGGGATGACTGGCCGTCGGGCTGAACGTGAGATCAGTAGATTTATGTTGGTTATCAGATGAGTTTCCCGGCAACGGTCCAGTGAGAGTGAAGCTTTCACATAACCCCGACACCGAGGCTTTGACTTCCCCGATGAAATCTTTACTTTTCCTGAACAGGAGAGCAGTGACTTAAGGCATAGTTAACGTAGCCGAAGGTCACGTGACGCTCTGCAGAGAAGCTGAGGTCAGGCAGGATCGGAGGGGTTCAGAGTCCATGTTCCCTGGCGTGGCCTCCGCCCTCAAGATCCAGATTAGCCCCGGGCGATTGCCCGGCCCGGGCAGGGCAGCTGCCGCGTGTGTTTCGTCCCCCCGGGCAGGGCAGCTGCCGCGTGTGTTTGCTCCCTGCCGGAGGTCCGTGCGGCTCCCGTTTGGCTTGGTCCTGGTTTTTCTCCAGCTGGTTGTCACCGTGACCCTTGACCCTTGGAGGCTGGTAGTGATTTTTTGGATGCTCTGTGCTCATTGCTAAGCCATGGTCCTTTATGACTCGTTTTTCATCCCGATGGGGCAGATTTTTATTTTTATTTTTATTATTTATTATTTATTATTATTTTTTTTTTATTGTGTTTCTTACAGAGTGGAAGAGAGAGGGATAGAGAGTTAGAAACATCAATGACATTGAGCAGCTACCTCCTGCACACCTACTGGGAATGCCCTTGCAGAATCGAACCTGGGACCCTTGAGTCTGCAGGCCGACGCTCTATCCACTGAGCCAAACTGATTAGGGCTATTTTTATTTATTTTTTTATACATATTTTGAATCCGCACCCAAGGATATTTTTCCATTGATTTTCAGAGAGAGTGGAAGAGAGGGAAAGACACAGAAATAGCGATGTGAGAGAAACACACTGATTGGTTGCCTCCTGCACCTGCGCCCCAACCAGGGCCCCAGCCAGGGAGGAGCCTGCAACCTAGGTACATGCCCTGGACAGGAATCGAACCTGGGACCCTTTAGTCTGCAGGCCGATGCTCTATCCACTGATCCACACTGGCTAGGGTGAGGCGGGTGTTATTAGTCTAGGGTCTCTCAGTCTTGGTGCCCTCTCCCAGGCTCTCGGGGCACTCTGCAGGCTGGCGCAGTCTGGGCATTCTCAGGATTGGCTGCTGGAACACAGGGAAGTTCCTCTCAGCATCTACCCTGACTCTGACTCCACAAGGAGCCTGGTACAAGGGAATTACAGAGTGGTCGGCAAACTGCGGCTCTCGAGCCACATGTGGCTCTCTGGCCCCTTGAGTATGGCTTTTCCACAAAATACCATGGCCTGGGCGAGTCTGTTTTGAAGAAGTGGCGATAGAAGAAGTTTAAGTTTGTTTATTTTTTTTTTTTAATATATTTTATTGATTTTACAGAGAGAGGAATTGAGAGGGACAGAGAGTTAGAAACATCAATGAGAGAGAATCATCAATCAGCTGCCTCTTGCACACCCCCTACTGGGGATGTGCCCGCAACCAAGGTACATGCCCTTGATCGGAATCGAACCCGGGACCTTTCAATCCGCAGGCCGACGCTCTATCCACTGAGCCAAACCGGTCCTGGCAGAAGTTTAAGTTTAAAAGACATGGCTCTCCAAAGACATTTCAATCATTGTACTGCTAATATTTGACTCCGTTGACTAAGGAGTTTGCCGACCACTGGGCTATGACATTGGTGAGATATTGTTCTTATCGATTAGCCCATGGCACAGTGGTTTCATGCTGTCATTTCATTTCAGGTTGCGTTAACCTGTCGTAACATTAAACGAGGCCTTGCTGTTCTTGACTAGGCCTCCCCGAGCCTCAAACGGTGTCCAGAACCCTGGTTGCCGGTTCGATTCCCAGTCAGGGCACATGCCCAGGTAGTGGGCTTGATCCCCAGGAGGCTGTGTGCAGGAGGCAGCCGTTTGATGTTTCCCTCTCACATCAGTGTTTCTCTCTCTCTCGCTTCCCCTTTCTAAAAGTATATTTTTAAAATATATTTTATTGATTTTTTACAGAGAAGAAGGGAGAGGGATAGAGAGTTAGAAACATCGATGAGAAAGGAACATCTACCAGCTGCCTCCTGCACACCCCCTACAGGGGATGTGCCTGCAACCAAGGTCCATGCCCTTGACCGGAATCGAACCCGGATCCCTCAGTCCGCATTCCAAGGCTCTATCCGCTGAGCCTAACCGGTTTCAGCATCTAAAAGTATTTTTTTTTTAAAGTTTTTCTCTTATTTCCTGAGATAATGGTGAGCTTTTATCTTATCATTCTCATGCTATTTTTAAAATATTTGTGAGGATATTTAAATATTTAAATACTTAAATATTTAAAATATTTGCTAGGGCGGTAAAGTAATTCAGGCGCAAGTACTTCACTGGAAGTGGCTTGAAAAGGAAGTAAAATGCCACGAACTTGTTGTTTCTCCTATGTCTTATCTTCTTGTACAGTCTGAGGGGCTGTAATGTTGGATTGTTCTTACGACATCAGGAAGTTGGGTTTCGGAAAGCGAAGAGGCGGACTCTTGCTCTGCCCACCTGTGGAATGCCCGTATGTGACTTCCTTTCCCTGGCATCTCATGCTTATCTTGGCTGTTTTAGCTCAGCCCTATCTCCTTTTCGAGAATAGAAAGTGATCTTTTCACTCGGAAGCAAAGGCCGCGTTGTAAGATCTCTGGAATAAACAGCTTGAACTCTCCGTTCTTGATTGAGGACTCTCTCCAGGAACTCGCATCAGTGCCTCAACCTTTACACTCTGCGCCGGGCTGTCCTGGGTGTGGCCCCATCACCCGGAGCAGGTGTGGCTGGGGCAGCTGGCCCGAGGGAGGACCAGAGAGGACAGTCCTGCTGCCTGGCAGTTTGTCACTTTCTGATCTTGGGATTTCTCTTTCTGCTCCTGTGTTGTGGTTGTTTTTTAAATATATTTTTATTGATTTCAGAGAGGAAGGGAGAGGGAATGAGAGATAGAAACATCAGTGATGAGAGAGAATCATGGATTGGCTGCCTCCTGCACATCCCCCAATGGGGATCAAGCCCGCAAACCAGGCACGTGCCCTGACCGGGAATTGAACCGTGACCTCCTGGTTCATAGGTTGACACTCAACCACTGAAGCCACACCAGCAGGCCCCGTAGAGTCCTTCTTATTCCTGGTTCTCGGTTATTTGCATTTGGCACATTTGTTTTGGTATCTCTCTAGATATGCACATTTTCCCTGAAACCCCTGAAAGTTAATGGCAGGCATCGTAACTTTTGATCCCCAAGTACATCAGCAGACATCGCTGAAGATCAAGGGCATTGTCTCAGATCATGTGCTGTACCTAATTCTCTAACCTACTCAATGGCGAGATAACTAATTAGCAGCCACAACATAAGTAACGTATTTAGGAAATGTAATGCTAATAAATACTCTTTTCTAATTTTTAAAAATTGATTTCAGAGAGAAAGGGAGAAGGAAAGAGAGATAGAAACATCGCTGATGAGAGAGAATCACGTGCCCTGACTGGAATCGAACTCGGGACCCTTTAGTCCCTGGGAGGCCACTAACCACTGAGCCACACCGGTGAGGGCTCATCCTGTTCTTCCTCCAGGGAGCAACCAAAAGCACTGCATCTGGCCGAAACCGGATTGCCCCAGTGGATAGAGCATCGGCCTGTGGACTGAGAGGTCCCGGGTTCGATTCCGGTCAAGGGCATGTACCTTGGTTGCGGGCACATCCCCAATAGGGGAGTGTGCAAGAGGCAGCTGATCGATGACTCCCTGTCATCGATGTTTCTAACTCTCTATCCCTCTCTCTTTCTCTCTGTGAAAAATCAATCAATAAAATATATTAAACACACACACACACACACATACAAAAAAAAACAACACTGCATCTGGTCAAATATAGATAGCAAATCGCACTTCATAGACCTGTGTGTAAATTACACCAAATGATCCAGTGTCTACTCAGGAGTTCCTTTATGTAAGGACATTGGATCAGAGGCAGAGAAAAATGGGACTGTGAAGAAATGGCTGTTTCAGAGACCGCGCTCTGAAATGCAGGGGGCAGGAGAGATGGGGGCCCGTTGGCAGCTTTAGGCTGGGAGCCCGGGGTCCCGGATGCGGGAGCACGTTGGCAGCACTGGGGGCCCTCGGGTGCCGAGTGTGGTGCAGCCTAAGGACAGCTGGGTGAGCACCTCAGATGTGATGACAGTTTGAGGCAGATCGGTGCCACGTGAGAGAGCAAGGA